GATATAAGGTTTAAAACTTGGTTAGTGGACAGTTTTTACAGTGTGTCCTCTTTCCTTCATACGAGGGTCTGGACTCTCAGCTTTAGAGAAGTGGTTCCTGCAGGAGGCGTGGCCTCTGCTGAAGTTTAAAATGATTGGATCAATATGTCTCTGTGAAGGAGGCTAAGCTAAGAAGCTAACAGAAATCACGTGCTGTAAACAACCCTACTGAGAGGAGAGAAGTACCGAGCTGAACCAGACGACTGTAAATGAGAGYTGCTGCTTCGTCAGATAATTTATTTTAATTTGAAGTCTTATCAWCACAGACTGGCTTCAGTCACTTCCTCCTCTGCTGGATGCTAAAATAACTAGCAGACACTGAGCAGARCATCATCGTTCTGTTCTCTGATTGGTCCAGGTAAAATACTCCTGAAGAARTCCTTGTCTGTGGCAGAAACCCTGAACGGAGCAGAGAAGGAAACTAGAACTAACCAGAGCTGTTCAGGAAGGAAGGGGCCAGGCTGGGGTTTCTGTAATCATTTATGAAATRTCATCAAATRTCAGTCTAAACATGTTCAAAATGTGTTTCATTAAATTATGGACTGATATTTTTGTTTGTGAGTGATTTTACATCTCAACACTTTGGTTCAGTTAAACTATCTGATATAACTGTGCCTGTAAGGCAGTTTAAAACCTGACGTTTGGTGTTCTTGTGGGTACCAACGCACAAATGAAAGTTTTATTCATTTATTWWTTATTTATTTATTTAGGGGGGKACATGCAGTTTTATATCTGAACTAACATGTTAAATGCATTGGTTTGWAAATGAATTTCATTAAACTGAAACTGAATTTAACAGTTTAAGTCTGAATTAATTAGCGTTTTAACTGTTTTAAAAGATAAGTTAGACTACTTTCTCTTTCAACGCTATAATTCAATTTAAATTCTAAAATTCTTTTTTTGCCTCTTTCATCCAGCACAGGGTGATGAAACAGACTGACAGATTTATGTTTCACATCAGTGAAGGCAGTAACCAGCATCACCTGACAGCTGATAATTATAATTACACCACAGGAAATACAAACATTATCTTACACCTTAACACTGGTAATTTACCTACTTACACTTATTTATGTAATAAATCCATCAGCACATGCTATAATAGATCAAAGCCATTTCAGGTCGGCTTTTAACTCGACTGTTTTGATCTTTACACCTGATTTTTATCGACTTATCTACAAATACAGATTCATTGTCCTTTTACATTGTGATAACAACGTGCACTGTTACCAGCCATAAGAGCAGAGCACAGCTGAAACTGTGTTTCACTGAACCAAAGGTGGGCATGACCTCATCGAGACCACCACACATTAGTACCTATAATAAGGGTAAAGGTACGAGACCACCACACGTTGGTACCTATAATAAGGGTAAAGACACAAGACCTCCACACATTAGTACCTATAATAAGGGTAAAGGTACGAGACCACCACACGTTGGTACCTATAATAAGGGTAAAGAC